TCCAATGTCAGAAAACACAGGTATCTCAAACAGGTGCCACATTGGTGATTGATATGAGACACCACTGTTGAATTGCAGAATGCATCATGACCAGACGATCTCTGGAGATTGTAAAAAGTGATCCAAAGTCTGACAAACAGCAAGGAGTTCGAGGACATGGATATGAAGAGGACATCCCCCACAGACCAAGGACCCAAAGCTTCCTGGTGATTGACCCATGCACCCCAGCCCTGAAGGGATGCATCCATGAACAGATGTAATCTTGGCTGCTGAGAAAGAAGCGGGACACCCGCTGATGTATGACCCTTGTTCAACCACCATCTGAAATTGTCCACAATGTAGCAAGGAAGGGTTATAGGAGCATCCAAGGGATCCTGAGCAAGGTTCAATTGGTCATGAAGGACCCACTGAAGGGATCATATATGAACACAGCTGAGGGGTATGAGAGGAGTCATACAAGACCACATCCCCAAAAGCAACAGAACCTCACAAGCAGAAAGTGAAGGAGCAGACAGGGTGTTCTGAACAGCCAGTTCCATGGAACAGAGCCGAAGAAGGTACAGCCCGACTGAGATGGGTGTTGAAGAAAACACCCAGTTGAATGAGGTACTGGGTAGGATGAAAGAAAGACTTCTCCAATTTCATCAACCAGCCCAAACCAGCAGCTGATGAGTATGACAGACCGATTACTATTCAGAATGAGTGAGAAGAAGCCAGTCATCCATGTAAAATGAAAGTGCAACACCAGGGCACGAAGAAGTAGAGCATAGGTTCACACCACCTCACAGAAAATGTATGGCACCATGATGGAGAAACCAAAGATAAGGACAAGAATGCTCCTGTATGGGAATATGCAGATAAGCATTGGAGACATCCATTGTGGTCATTCAAAGACCTGGAGAAAAAGCCCACCAAAGAGAAAGGTAGGATTCCAAAAAGTGTGAGGTGTGGCGGACATATCGATTGAGATAGGACAGGTCTAAGACAGGCCTCCAGTCCCCTGTCTTGGGAACTACAAACAGGTGGGAGTAAAATCACCCTAAACTGCATGGAGCAGGTTCAAGAGCTTGTTGGTTGAAGAGGTCTTGCACCAATAGATGCTGACATGAAAAGGAGTCCGAAGGAGGAGGAAAGGAAACAGGCACGCAGGACAAGGGAGGAAGGGTAAGAAATGGTATGACAAATCCCTCTGAAAAAAAAGATAATGAACTCAAACATCAGAGATAAAAGGGCTCCACCAATAAATGAAGGTTGCCAGACAAGCTCCTACTGGACCCTAACCCACCAGGTAGTCACCAGAACTGTATTTGGTATACCAAGCATCATCATGAAAAATGATGAACAGTGGCACCACAGGAAATGAGGAACAGGCAAGGGCTGGGAAGGGGAGGGTCAGGAGATAGGAATCAGTGTCACACTCGGCTGTGACTGGAACAAATGGACTACCAAATAAGAAAGGGTGGATTGTTGTTGGACTGAAGCTACCCTTGACTCCAGGATCATGTAAAACACAAAGCATTTGAAAAATGTGGCCATCAGAAAGTCCCATAGATAGAAGCCAGGACAATATTGCATCATGACCCAAAAGATACCAACAACAAATAAACCACATTTGCAGGGCCAGGGCCAAAATCGAAAGACAGGCCAACATGGAAGGGAGGAGGAAAAGGACTTCTCCAGAAAACCTCTCAGGGTACCTGTGAAGAGCATCAAACAGGAGATGGATTGAGGAGAGTTACCGCAAAAGGGTCATCAGGAGAAGACGGGAATACTGGGCATTGGTAAGATGAATGGGAGATACAGGTCCCACCCTCCAAACAGGCAAAACTGAACACAATAATTGTTAGTCCAGAAATGGACAGTCCACCCTATGATAAGTGAGGGCAGACTTATCCAAAGCCCACAAAGGAAAAGGCATACTAATGCCGTCACCTAAATGGGAGGCAAAACACTCAATGTGAACCCAAATATCAGGGGATGGAGAAAAACTATACAAGGCTGGGAAGCAGAATCATGTAATGGGGAAGGATGTGGGTCATAAGAAATAAGAGCAATAGACAAAACATCACATACCTGCAAAAGAAAACCAGAGAAAGCCAATGAGGGCCACGCAGAATCCTCAGGTAGGGATTGGAAATGCACAGCGACCTTGGGGGGGGGGGGGGGATGATCCAAATCTTTGTCAGCTTTGCCAGGCTTACAAAAGGCTCAGGAGGAAGATGGCCAACAGCAGGAGACAAAGGTTGTCCCATATAACACTCAATTTCCCTGCAACTAAAGGCCGATAAATCCCCCGTTGAGTCACCTGCACCTGTAGCCTGAATTATGGCATCAGAAAAAATCATATGTATCCAAAGTGGTAACGTTAACAGTGGAATTCATGCTTGATACCAAACAAACAAGCACAATTTTTCACACCAAAACTCAGGTAAATCAAACACTTTCAAAAATAAAGTGGAAAAAAATTCTTAAAATAAAGTGAATTAAAGTAAGTTAAACCACTTCAAGAGGTAACGAATAAAAAGACAAACATCTGAACTCAAGCACTGCCAAATGAGAACTGAAGGTTCGGTAGAGGATTGTAGAGAGAATCACATGCATCACAAGGGAATACTATGCTACTACTGGATAACCTTATCGTCCCTGGTATCCTTTACTGCGCCTGACACAAGGTTTTAGTGTCTCACATTCAAAATTTTATTATACTACTTTTTGTTTACATTATACCAAATAGAATAGCATAAAATCTTAGCTAATAATCCATATTTTAATAGTATACAAGTTTTAAGTTCTTAATTCTACAAGGAAATATTTTATAAAAATTCTGAATTTCCACTAGTGTGACCCAAGTGACCCATTTTGTCATCATCCCTATTTTATCCATCACCCCTTGAAAATGTACAAAATTAAACATAAATTACTCTCTATAAAATCTTTATTGCTCAGACAAACCATAATTTTGATAGTCTTCAATTTTGTTTGGTTACAGAGCTATCAAACAGAAAATCAGACCCCTCCTGCCACACCCATCTGTCATATTCTCTCACAATTTGTTAATAATTCTCTCTTACGTTTCAATATATATTACCTTTAACCAATCGAAAGTCCAGGTTTTCATTTATCAAATAACATACTGTATAATGCTGTGTTCAGAACATAATATCATCAAGTTCACTTACAGTACAAGATTCATTCCTGTGGGAAAGTTTAACAACTGACTTGGATGAATTTGTAATGGCTCTTGTTGCATATTATCAAAGTCAGAAAAGTTTTGAGGTAAGGGAATTTGTCTACTTTTTGAATGTTATTAGTCTATATTCTTTGGGCCATTATTTAATTAAATAAAAATTATTAGATGCATCACTATCATTACTTATCTTGGCTGTATTTTAGTAGACTACTATTTTGTAAAATACAGTCACATTTCAATTATTATATATTATATATGTATATAGATTATTG